ATCAACCACATACCAAAAAGAGGAAGATATGTTCACAGCCTTGCCAGATTTCCAATCTCTGACTCCCCCCTACACACACACACTCGCACAAATCATCTCAGTCCAAGAAAAAAAAAATCCACCATTCTTCCTTCCTAGATGATTATATGCGATGAGTGCAGCTGGGTTTTTTTTGTTTCGGATGAGCGGCGATCTGTGTACACAGATCCCCCTTTAAACGGGTGATGGCACCCCCAAGAGGAGGTCGATGGCAGTGCAGAGGTTAAAAATGTTGAATTCTACCCTGAAGGTTGCCAGGTCAAATCCCCCCAAGGGATACTGCTCTTGTCTTCTTCAATAAGATGGTTTGCTGGTAAAATTAAGCAGCTGGTTAAGGCACAGGGCTTTGGGTAAAAGCAGTGATCACTTTTGGAATAAGATTACATAAGGATGGATTTGTCATTGTTATGTGTTTTCTATGAGGTGGTGGACATTCGTCTTAAGCTGAAGTTACCCCTGCAGGTTGTTAGGAACCCCTACCCACCCCCCCCAGTTGAGATCTCATGTCATCATTTCCTTCGCATATCAACAATTATGCTATTTGTTCAGAGGGCTGTTACCGTTGGTGACATATCACAAGTAAACATCACAATTAGGAATGTGGGGTGAAAGAATGGAGTCAGGGTTGCCGAAGTTAGCGTCCCAGATGGGGGGGGGGGTGTGCGAGGGGGCGAAAGAGACAAGGAGTGGGACGGGGAGTCAGGGAGCAGGAGTGTCGTCTCTGAGTTAATTAGATCTGATTCGTGCCCCAGCGTCCTCAGTCTGGTAGCTGACGGCCGGGTGGGAAGTGCACAACCCCCCCCCCCCCCCTTTTACGGAAGGGGGTGATAATTCATCATTAGGATCTCAGAGCCCAGGTGTAGATGAGATCTGATGGAGCCGGCAGCTGATCGGGCCTGGAGCACCCGAGGGGAAAGAGCTGATCTGGGGGCCAGTCCCCCCCCCAGTCAGGGCCATTGAGATAATATTACTTTAAGGATCCTTTGCTGATTAAAAAAAACAATCACAGATCGAGGGGGTCCCAGATCAGAGCAGCCCCCTTGCTGGCGACGCACCATTAAGTGTCTTCTTTTCACCCCAACATACGCAGAAAAACAAGCCCCACCGAAGACTCGCTGCGACGTCCAGGGACCCTTCGCCGCATTCCCTGCGGCTGTTTAGACGCAACAAATCATTTGTCTGTTATTAACCCGGAGCCTGTAATTATGCAGATTGCCATAGATTCTGCGGGGGCCGGTGGGGGTGGGGGGGGGGGTGGGCGAGGAAGGGGCTGGGGGCCGCGGTGCAGCACAGCCAGCTGAAGGGGTGGCGCGGCGCGGCAGAGCTGCACCGGGCACATTCATCATGTTGACTGATGGCATGAGAAGCAGGTCCCGGGTCCCGGTGGTTAATGTAGTGGGTAATTAACTGTCATTTGCCTAGTAATAGGCTGATGATCAATGGTTTGTGTGGAAACAAATTCTAATCAGGTAGCTGATAAATGCACACCGAGGCCAGAGCAACCGGAGTCACAGGGAGGCACAGTCGGAATTTCAAACGGCCTTTGACGTCGGGCCATTATTACCCTCCCCCTTCCCCCCGCCCCTGCCCAGAAAGGGATTAACCCCCGAAGAGCCCTATGTTTAATTCTCTGCCTTTAATACCCCGAGCAGATGCCTGTGACTAAGAGGGACAGGGGTCTTTGTTCTGGAAAGGCGTACCAGGATGGAGTTCAGGACCCGACCCCGAAATGCGTTTAAAAACTGGCACAAAATGCAGTCAATAACAGCGACTCTGTTTGTAAATACCTGCGGATGGAAGGTAATGTGAAGCACTGCTTCTTCCCGGCGGATTTACAAGCACTGGCGATCCCGTGCCGGGCCGCTCGCTCGGCTAGACGGTCCTGCTCTCATTCCCGCCGTTTCATAAAGCCGCGACGCTATGATCGAAACCCAATTACTTAGATTTCGCACTGCGATGAATTTATCAATGTTATTATCCATTGAGATGTCACCGCTTGCGCGCCATCCGAAGAGGGCAGCGATTTTAACGATTTTAGTCTTGCTGTGAGAGCTAAATTCTCTTTCGGGGTCCGGCAGGCTAATGCTTTGCGGAATAATTTAATTGGTGTCTCTTCAGAGATGACAGAACCGCTCCATTTTTCCCTCATGAAGTGGACCCGCCATCGGCCGCACTGGCCTGTCTCCTACCCCCCTCCCCCGCCCCCCCACACCACCCAAAAGCCCGCCATAGTTAATGAGCAGTCACATGACAGGTGGGTCATCACATCATGCTAAATAACTGGTGCTTCCCAGATTTTTCCAGTCCACATCTTGCCACCAAAATGTTGCTTTCAGCTTCTTTGAAACGTTCCTGTCAGCCCTGTTTCATGGGCGTCGACTGGAGGAGACC